GAGACAGACATGCAAGAGCAGGTCAGGGCAGAGAAAGAGGGAGGCAGAGGATCCGAAGGGGGTTTTGCTCTGATAGCACAGAGCCCTACGTGGGGCTCAAACTCAAAAACCGTGAGATCATGACCCAAGCTGAAGTCAGAGGCTTAACCGACTGAGCCACCCAGACAACCTTCCATAGAACATATTTTTTAAAAAATAATCTTTAAATTGATATTACACTTGCTTTTCCCTAATTTAAAAAAAAAATAATTAAGCTTCTGACCTTGTAGTAAACTTTTAATATAAAAAAAAAATTTAATGTTTATTTATTTTTGAGACAGAGAGAGACAGAACGTGAGCAGGGGAGGAACAGAGAGGGAGAGACGGAGACACAGAATCCCAAGCAGGCTCCAGGCTCTGAGCTGTCAGCACAGAGCCCGATATGGGGCTTGAACTCATGAACCATGAGATCATGACCTGAGCCGAACTCGAATGCTGAGCCGACTGAGCCACCCAGGCACCCCTTGTAGTAAAATTTTAGGGGGCTTCTGAACCTTAGGTGATTGCAGCATGAGCAGCTCTCCCTTGAGTCTAAGCCCTGGTTCACATCTTTCTTGGTTCTAAGGAAAGGACATAGGAAGAAAGAAAAGACAGGTTGCTTTAAGCATTAATTCTCAGTGGGTTCTGTGTTTATTTCCTAAGCTAACCCTATCCAGATGTTTAACTAGAATGGTTTTTTGTGCGTATGCAGTTGGTATGACCATTTGAAAGTTCCAGTAGTTTCCTAGAACTACTCTGTGTAATATTTTATTCTTTGAGAACCTCTGCTCTTCTAGATATTTAACCTTTAAATGTCTTTAGCTGCTGTCCTTAAGACTGTTCCCACATGCTCCTGTTCAGTCCAGCAGACATCTGTACCAAAGACTTTAACTTGTCACAAGAGGGATAGAACTAAGCACATTTTTCCTTATAAATCTTTCAACTTCAAATTACACATTTCGTTGCCTTAACAAAACTTAAAATAGATTTCTCTCATTGGATTCTGCAAAGTGAAAGGTTTTTATTATTTTGCAAAGAAATACTTTTTAAATGCAATTTGTTCTTTCTTTCTAGGTTCTAGTTTTGCCCCATCATCGACTATTTATGCAAATAACTCAGTTTCCAATTCAACGAACTTTAGTGGTTCACAACAGGTATCGTAGCTTTTCTGTATTTCGACTTTTTATATCTTTCAGATTTCCAAAGAATAGTTGTAGGTTGTCATATAAGTGCGTGTTCTCCTAGAAAAAGGTTTCTGTGTTTAAAGTAAAGATGGCATTTCAAGTAGTAAAAATTAGATATCTAGAATTCTTGGGATCTGTATTAATCTGGGTATTTTAGGTTTTCTGGTTGCTAAAAGTTTGCCCTTTAAACCTTTAAACAGTGATTTTTTTTTAACCATTTGGCATAGAATTGCAAAATTTATTGCATATTTTCCTATTATCTTAAGTTGTACCAAACATAATTTTATTTTCTCAAGTTATTGTGAATATTAATGAAGAGGTTGAATTACAACCAGTAATTAAGTTGTGGCATTTTTAATCCAAAATCTTTGTTATTGAACAAAATGCCTCTTGGATTTTTTTTTCTTTTAGTTCTGATTCATTTTAATAAACGTTTGATTCCTACTTTCCTGACAGCTGTCATTCTTTTGTTTTTGTCACTGTGCTTGCCTAGCAGTCCTTAGTCCCCCTCCTAGTTATGTTTTTTTTTGTTTGTTTGTTTTTTTAGTATTTTGTGAGTTTTGAAATCTAGTTTGTTAGAATTATGTGTGGAAGAAGAATGAATGTTTCTGAGGAGTGACTGTAATGACACTTAAGAATCTTGTGTCTTTATTCCTTTGTTCTCAGTCATGCTCAGAGTAGTTGAGATACAAGGGTAGTTGATCTCCTTGGTAGGCAATACACTATTTTACTCTAACGTAATTGTTGGGCTTTTTATGTATTCTAAAATCTAATTTATTGCACAGGTGGGGTCTTTGGATTTACTGAAGGAATTATATTAATTGCCTTCTTTTAATTTTTATTAACGTAACAAAAGGCAAAACAGAAATCATGATTATTAAACAGTGTGGAAAAATAGTATTTTTGATAGAATTAAACTGTTTAATTTGGCATTAGTTAGGAATATGGTTTCTTAAAACATGAAACATCAAAGCCAGCATGCCTATTTTATGTTTAAAAATATTCAGAATCCAGGTAGCTCATTTTACTTATTTATTGATATAGCAAACGTTTATTGAGCACTTACTATACTTTAGACTTTATTTTTTTTTTTTAATTTTTTTTTTACAACGTTTATTTATTTTTGGGACAGAGAGAGACAGAGCATGAACGGGGGAGGGGCAGAGAGAGAGGGAGACACAGAATCGGAAACAGGCTCGAGGCTCCGAGCCATCAGCCCAGAGCCTGACGCGGGGCTCGAACTCACGGACCGCGAGATCGTGACCTGGCTGAAGTCGGACGCTTAACCGACTGCGCCACCCAGGCGCCCCTAGACTTTAAAAAAAATTTTTTAACATTTATATACTTTAGACTTTTGACTAGGCATTGAAGCTTCAAAAGTAATGTCCTTGTTCTCTGCTGTCTGGAGGGAAGCAATTCTAAAGAAACAGATATGAAAATAATATGAACAGAGAGGGTAGGATATAATGAATATACTAATAGAAATATATGCATGAAAGAAAGACTTCTCTGTTCTGCTTGGGAGGATTTAAAAAAGATCCATAAAGGAGAAGACAGATTCATGTTATAAAATAGATCCAGTACTGTCTGAAAAAAATTAAATCCAGTGGCTCCAATATAACATAACCTGTATTTTGGACCATGGTTGGAATACCAGTCTATTATTTTAGTTAATACTTACTGAGTAGTTATTAGGTATTAGGAACTGGTCTATATGCTGGGGACATGTAAGAGGGGACAGGAGTGGATAGGACCTGATTCATGCCTCCTGGAGCTTCTTAATTACTGAGAGAAGCAAACAATAAACCAATAAACACATAATATAGAATTGAAAAGTGCGAGGAGACAGAACAGGGTCCTATTAAAAAATATTAATAGGAATCTAATATTGAGTAGGGAGGATTTTGCGGAAGACGTACCTGTAGAAGCAACATTCAGGCCAGTGCTTCTAAGAATTTGGTGGAGGGCCAGGATGTTTGGGCATGGGAGGTGGTAGGTACCAAACTCCTGAGAGGTGAAATCCTTAGTGTGCTAGAGAATTCAAAGAAGGGTAGGGTTTAGTCTGTGCATGAGGGCAGATGGGGAAACTTACTTGAAGTGAAGATAGGCAGGGCCCTCCCTGTATGTGTAGAGCTCTGTAGTTTACAGTAAGGGATTTCAATTTTATTCCAAGCCCAATGGGAAGCTATTAAAGGATTTTGAGCAGGAGAATAGCATCATAAAGTTTATGTTTTGAAAAGACTACTCTGGCTTCCAGCACTTTGGAGAAAGCCAAACCTAAAAATGAGACAAATTAGAAAAACAGTCCGTTGGTTCCAACAGGAAGTGACGGTCACTTGGACTAGGGTGACAGTAGAGGAAATGAAGAGATGGGAAGATCTTTGAAATACATTTGAGTATGAAAAGACGTTTTAGGCACAAGAAGCTAGTAGCCTGGACCTTTCCTGTAATTTCATCTGCCCGTATGGGCATTTCGCAGCCTTAGAGGGAGCTTCAGCACGCAGATGGTGGCCTCAGCCTCTCTGGGTTCCATTTCCAGTTCTGAAACTTGCTAGCTGCCTGACTTTGAGCAGGTCACATAACCACTCTGTGCCTTCGTCCCCTTCAGTGTAAAATGGGGTAAAAATACCACATAGGTGGTTGTGAGGAATAAATGAGTAAATCGACTTAGAGTCTTAGAACAGTGCCTGACACAAAGTAAGTACTAGCTACACGTTTTACTCTGAGAAATTATGTTGTCGAAGTATTGCTGAGAGGTTTTTTTCCCTTGGTTTACAGGTGGCAGTGAGGGAACATCAGGTCCCGAAATGAACAGTCAAATAGATTTTTAGTGTTTTGCCATATTAGAGTTGGACCAGACAACATGGTTGATGGGGGATTTGGGGCACCAACCCCTGACACAGTCAAAACTCCACATATAACTTTGGACTCCTCCAAAACTTAACTAAAATTTAGCCCACTGTTGACAAGAAGTCTTGCTGATAACATAAACAGTCGATTAACACATACTTTATATGTTATGTGTATTATATATTGTATTCTTACAATAAATAAGCTAGGAAAAAAGAAAATGTTATTTAGAAAATCAGAAGGAAGAAAAAATACATTTGTAGTACTGTATTTTATTTATCGAAAAAAAAATCCGTGTGTAAGTGGACACGCACAATTGAAACTCTTGTTGTTCTAGGGTCAACTATACTTAATCCTTTTTGATAATACACATATTTGCTTATACACATATTTACTTTATATAAAGAATTTCTTCTTTGCGGGGGGGAAACCACATCAAATGTGGACTTTGTTTCCTTAGGAACGTGTACCACGAAATCTTAATCCTGACCAAGGATTTGTCATCACTGATAACAATTTGGGCTAAAACATGCCAGATACATTAAACACCAACAGTGCAACAAATTTTTATGTGTTACCTTAATATGTAAAAAGGATTTTGAAGGATTATTTAGATCACTTTAAGGTTCTTAGGATTTTTAAATAAAAAGCAGGTCAGAGAAGTTGATCCAATTCTTTTTTCCCTGTAACAAACAAAGCGAACTAAATATTTGAAAACCTCACTTCAGACTTTTAGGTCAAGACCTTAGATGCCATAGCCTTTAAAGGGCTGGGTAAAAAACGCTAGTATCCATTTGCTTTTATTTACTCTTTATTTCATGCATAATGATCAAGAGTAACCTAGAAGGGTAATAGAAATCACAGTAATGCAGACTGAGGTCCCTATGGAAGCTGAGAAAGGGCAGTCATATTGTCTCCTTACTGGTGATATTAAAAGATATGCTGTGAATATGAATTCATTCCATTTCCTTCTCTCCTCTTCCAGTACATAAGACCTTATGATGTACATCCTTGGATAAGTACTTACAGATAAGTGAAGCAATATGCAACCTTTAGGAAGATGGAGAATTATGTGCGGGACCTGGTTCGCAAAACCAGCAGGGTCATTCACAACTCTGTGCACTCGCTAGAATCCCCTCGAAACCGTGGACTCTGAAACAAACGGAGCCAAACGCTAATCTTTCAGTTGCCATAGTGATTGCTTTGCTTTCGAGCATGCCAGGAGTAATTTCTCTTTCGAGTGCACACATGTCTCAATTGTTATTTCAGGATTATCCATCCTACACAGCCTTTGGCCAAAACCAGTATGCACAGTATTACTCAGCATCGACGTATGGAGCATATATGACATCAAATAACACAGCTGATGGCACATCATCTTCAACCTCAACCTATCAGTTGCAGGAATCTCTTCCGGGACTGACTAGCCAACCAGGTACAGATCTTCATCCAGGTGAAATACTTTTATGTTTTGCTGTGTCTAATAATACGGAGAAAAAGAACATTTTTCAAAAGCAAGGCTGAAAGTTCTGATATAGTTATACTGATGTTTAATCTGTGCCAGTACAACTATATAAGATGAGGCTTTTCTTCTGGCATTTCAGAAAACGCTTCTTTTAGATGTGGATGGCTAAGAGATTTTAATTTCAAATGACTTTGTGTGTGTGTGTGTGTGTGTGTGTGTGTGTGTGTGTGTGTGTGTGTATGTGTTGATATGGATACAAAAAGGCCAGTGAACCTTTTGCCTGATATTCTTTCTTTTGTAAAGATCTTGACAACTTGGAAAAGCTGTAATATTATCTTCTTGGGGTATAACTGATCATATTTCCCTTAAGCTTGAGAGACTGTGTCACTCCTTCATCTCGGTGAGTCATCAGTAGCTCTAGCCAGTGAACATTTCCTACATTCCTAGGATTTGTAGGATATTAGTAGGTAGTTTAATATCTTTGTCTGATTAGCACTTACTTAAAATCCACTGTATTCTCCGTTGTCTGAAGCTGATCTGCAGTGCTACCGGACTTGAATTTGCTGATGCAGCTCAAGTATTTAAGGTTAAAAGCAAATTTAATAAAGATTCATTGTAATCCTATCCAGAATTCCAGCATGACTTTTTGGAGAAATCATCAAGATGATTCTGAAATTACAAGGAAAGGCAAAGGAACTAGAGTAGCTGAAATCATTTTGAAAAGTAGGAACAAAGTTTGGGGATTGACATTCCCTGATTTCAAGACTCATTAGAAAGTACAGTTATCAGAAATGTGTGGTAGTGACAAAAGGATAGATACACAGAACAATGGAATAGAATAGAGATTGTAGAAATGGACCCATATACATACACTAGAAAATGGATTTTTGACGAAAGTGCAAAAGGCATTTGGAAAATAAAGGATTTTGTTTATTTTTCAAAAACTGGTGCTGGAACAATTGGACATCCATATGCAAAAATAGCAACAACGATAACAGCAAGGACAAAAAGCAAACCCCAAAACAGAATCATGACTCGTAACTCATGCCACATACATACAATACATATAAAAACTAAAACTGTAGGGGTGCCTGGGTGGCGCACGGGTTTAAGCGTCTGACTCTTGATTTGGGCTCAGGTCATGATCTCATGATTTATGAGATGGAGCCCTGCTGACGGTGTGGAGCCTGCTTAGGATTCTTTCTTTCCCTCTGTCTCTCTCCCCTGCTCACACACTGTCTTTCAAAATAAACAAACATTAAAAAAAAAAACACCTAAAACTATAAACCTTCTATAAGATAACATGGAGGAAATTTTTGTGGCTTTGGGTTACATAAAGATTTTATAGGTACATTAAAAACACAATCTCTAAAAGAAAAGAAACTGGCCTTCATAAAATCAAGAACTTCTGCTCTTTGAAAGACACTGTCCAAGAATAAAAAGACAAGCCACAGATTTGGAGAAAGTGCTTGGAAAACACATCTGCTAAAGGACTTATATCCAGAATATATAAAGAACTATCAAGATTCAGTAAGGAAAATGAAGTTAAGAACTTTTATAAACACCATTAGTATGTCCAAGCTTTTTTTTTTTTTTTTTTTTTTTTTTTTTTCTGACTTCAGTTATTTGCAGGATTCAGGCTCATCTCTATTTATTTTTCATCCAGTGTTGGAAGGGAAAGAAAATAGGGAAACATGGGCACAACACTATAAATTCTTTCTAGTTGGACCAGTGATTCCAAGAAGACTTAAGGCCATTTAACAATTATTTATTGAGTGCCTATTAGGAACCAATTACTGTTGATGTTTCAATTACTGTTAAAGGAATGAGCTCTCTGCATTCCTTTAACTTCCATTTGATAAACAAGACAAATATCAAGCAGATAATTAATATTGTATGAGTGTCAGAAAAGGGAATATTAACAAGAAAACTAATTTGAACAAGAAGTTCAAATAAAGCTGACACTTTAAGGAACAGCCAACATATGCTTATATCGTGAATTGATGAAATGGTGACATCCTTTCTTTTTTGTTCTCTGTTCAAAATAGTGTCTCTGATCTAACTGTGGATCTGAGGGAATATGGTCTAGTATGTATACTAAACTTTGTCTTTGGTGCCTCTATATTTCAGTTTCTTTTTTCTTATCTTCGCTTTAGATCCTTTCTCCTGTGACCACACAGCCCCTTTGAATTTCTGGTCCTTGTCCCCTTAAGGCTCCCGTTGAGGCTTTTCATCTAGCCTCAGCCTCTCTGAGTAGTTATATCCTGTGCAGGGCCAGGACTAAGGTAAAGCCAGGAAAACCAGAGGTACAAATTGAAGGAAACATTCATTCTCAAAGCCCTTAAATTTTATGCCTCCGTGCCTGACTCACTTGAACGTCATTTCAGCCTAAATCCCATGATCTAAATCTGTCCTTATCCTCTTTGAGTCAGTACTTGCATTTCATCAAGAAAATGACCTTAATTTAAAGAATGAGTGATTTCAGAATACTTGCTTCACAGACAGTGAAGATACTTTAGATAAGGAGGTATCTTATCACAGTGGGAAAGGCTTTTCTCAATAGTTAAGTGTGTGGGGAGAACAGGGTAGGATGACTGTGTTCAAAAACAAAATCACAGAAGTAATTGATGATCAAGATCCTGGAGACTGAATGATAGACAGGACCGGGCAGACTGTGTTACTACAATAGAACCACCATGAGTGAAAACCATGGTGTTTTTAAATACATATACACTGGATAACACTTTGAGTAAAAGGTTGATTTAGCTCTAATTTCAGTATTATCACAAGAGTTTTCTCTGTAGGATAGACACAGATGGATACTTTCCATTAACTAAAAAGTAATAAATATTCAGAATAGCTATTTTATTTATATTTAAATACTAAATGCAAGCATGTAGATGTTCTCAATGTGTGACTTTGGTATGACACATCTACATGTAACTTTCTCATATTCACTATCAGGGTGCAATTTCTTCAGGTTTCCATTGATTGCTAATGCCAACAAATATAGTTCGACACAATTTTCAGATCTTATCAGACTTGCTGTTATATTTAAAGAAGAAATAATTTTTACTTTAATTATATTCTTCTTTTAACCAAAATTAAAAGAATATACATGTCTGGATTTTTAGGGGAGTCTGTGATCCCAGACCTTCAGACAAGGTAGTTTTAAGTTTGACTTTTGCCTTTTCAGATCTGGCATGCATCCAAAAAGCAAACAAGTTGATAACTGTGGGATTCGTTATTGATGAAATTTGAGGTACTTAGTTCGAGGGTATGAAAAGTATTTCCCGTTAACCAGTGCTGCATTTTGGAGTTAAAACAGAGCCCTAACAATTACATCCACATTTTTTCATAAATCATGTACTGTTGACTTCTCTAATTTTTAAAATAGAAACATGCTTGATGTTCTATAAAAGACGGCTGGTTGTTGTGGTTTAGGGATAAGCTTAAATGGAATTAGGTTGGATCTAAATATCTAAAACTTGGAAGGTGCATTTATTCATTTCTGTTCTGATTAAAGAATAATTGTTCATCACACATAGCGTTGGCCCAAGAAAAAGCCTATGGCAATTGGTAACGACTAATGTTATTTGGAAACTGCAAATAGCATTCAGTTATTGACTTTACCTTATTAGGCAGTTTGACAGTCTATTTAAAGAAACTACCATCTATAAAATTAAATATAATTAGTAATTTGTAATAGTATCATCCTTTACTCTGAGACCTTGGCAAACATTGCAATACGTTAGCTAATTAAACTTTACAATTGCTTCAGAGAAGTAAAAGATATAGTAAGATCACTTCACTCTTTGAAAAGAAGCCAGTTTCTTAGGCAGAACTCGGTAGAATTTCCATAGCTTCGTGGCATTTCACACAAGGACAGGAAGGAAAGTAAAGTGCTCATTTATTTAATGGAAGCTAACAAGAGGATTTAGATAGAAAGGACTGACCACATTTAACTTCTCTGACAATTCGCCTTTTCCCTACCTGCAGCACTAAAGTTCCCTAGTGCAATTACCTGAGTGAAATTTGGCAGAGACACTGGAATTAACAGCTTTCTCTTAGAAAAAAAAAAAAAAAGTGTCAACAAATATTTAATGACCAGTGGAGCTCAAGTTCCTGGTTTTACCCTTTATCAGAAGAAAGGATAGCGCCTTCAAAAGATATAGAGGCTCGTACAGTTCTACCTGGGTGGTTATCTGTAGGAACCCAGATTCCACCCACACACCCTGAAAGACCTCCAATTTTGCTATGAAGATCTTTCAAAGAATTCATTGGCCCTCACTCTCCCAGAAATTGTATAAAGTCTATCTATTCTTTTGATAGATAGATAAATTTGACCTCTTTGGAGGATCTGTTGCTGTTTGGTGGAGGAAGGGTAGCCTAGTGGTTAAAGCAAGGATTCTGAAATTATACCGGCATTCCACATACAAGCTATTTCATCTTGATAAGTTAACTTAAAATCTCACAACCTTCCCGTTTCCCCATTGTTAAAAGAGAGTAATGAAGGACCCAATTCATTGGCTCAAAGTGAGATTTAAATCAGATATATATATTTCTGTGTGTGTGTGTGTGTGTGTGTGTGTGTGTGTGTACACACACATATACACATATTTATACACACACCTGTATATACACACACATATGTATATATGTATACACACATATGTAAAGAATATATATATATATGTATATATACATATGGGGGTGTGTGTGTAAAGAATGTTTCACAATAAAGAGCTCTGACAAATCAATAAGAAAAAGATGACCCAAGTTTTTCAATGGACAAAAGATTTAAACAGTTTCCTCATAAAAAAGAAGTTCCCAAATGGGGAAAGAAAAGTGTTTTTGCATCATTATTCATCAAGAAGATGCTAATTGAAACTACAGTGAGATACCAACATACCCTCACAATAGCTAATATAAAAAAGGCTAGCAATACCAAGTATTGGCAAGGATGTGGAATAACTGGGCATCTCACTGCTAGTCAGAATTTGTAGAACCACATTGGTAAAAAGGTGGTTGGTGTCTACTGAAGATGAATACCTGACTTCCCCCTGACCCAGCAGTCCCACTTCTGAGTATATACCCTAGGGGAATGGGGGCTTATGTCCACAAGATGTGAACAAAAATGTTTCTAGCAGCTTTACTTGTAACTGCCTAAAACTTCAAATAGCCTAATGTTGATTAACAAATAACCAAAGCGCCGTATACATATATAATGAAGTTCTAGCCACATGAAGGAAAAAGCAAACAACCATTCCAGGTTGTAAAATGGAAGAATCGGGCAGCATAATGAGCAGTGAGTAGAGCCGAACACATATTTCAGTAAACTTTTTAAGGAAGAAGGCAGTCCGTGGCACATACCAAACGTTTCATGAACGTGGAGCTACTCGTCATAGTTTTCTTAAAAGGATATGCCTGCGCTCTCATCGAAACACTTCTGTCCATATTTTGTCCAAATTCTTAGAGCCCTTTTAAGGGCTCCTACTTTTACTGAAACCTGGACACTTCCTGTGACCAGTCTTTTCCTTTCTTCCTCCTCCTGCTCTTTAGCAGCTGGCTCCTCGTTCATTTAATAGCTGACTGGTTCCTGCCAAACTCCTCCTTTATGGATCCAGTCAACAGTCAGTCACCCATAACTGAGCACAATGGCTTTGGAATTTTGCAAGTTTTTTTTTTTTTTTACCTTTCAGCTCTTGCATTTTTGTAAGAGCAAAGCTGCTCCATGATAGTTAACAGCTGAAAATTGGTCTGTAATGAGTAGAAAGACAAGTTTTTATAGGATGCGATCCAAAAATTGTTATAAGCTTACTTAATAAATGAGGCTTAATTTGAATCAGTATTTTATCCAAACAAGAACATTTGACTTGCAGAGCAGAGTAACCATAAGAAAATTCTGGCTAAAAAAAAATAACTAAAAATAGAAAAAAAAAATTGTGTGATATATTTTTTTTAAGTTGGCATGTGTTTAAATACCTAAAGCCTCGCAGTCGGTTAAGCGTCTGACTTCAGCCAGGTCACGATCTCGCGGTCCGTGAGTTCGAGCCCCGCGTCAGGCTCTGGGCTGAAGGCTCAGAGCCTGGAGCCTGTTTCTGATTCTGTGTCTCCCTCTCTCTCTGCCCCTCCTCCGTTCATGCTCTGTCTCTCTCTGTCCCAAAAATAAATAAAACGTTGAAAAAAAAAATAAATTAAAATAAATAAATAAATAAATAAATAAATAAATAAATAAATACCTAAAGCCTCATTTAATACCTGTGCAAGTAAGCTCAAACACGATTTACTAGAGGTAGGGTGATATTCAACCAGAAACTAAAGAACTTTGTATTACACTGTCTATTCTCAATGGTCAATAGCAGAGACCCATGATATGAAATGTGCTAACAGTGTTTTAAGAGCAAATATTATTTGAAACACGGACATGTTTGGTTTTTTGTTTTTTTTTTTGATGCTGTCCTGACATGCACAATGTTTTCCAAAGAAAATGTTATAACCATTAAAAATAATTAGAGGTTAGCTATGTAAAAATCACTATTTATTTGGAACACTTCAGAAAAAATACTACCTAAATATTCATCCAGTTTGTTCATATTTGGTTATTTCAATCAGAAAGTGGTTGGCTGTCTTCATAATTATTTTTCTTTAATTTTATGATGAAGCATAATTGTCATAACTTCTTTATATTTAAAAATGTTATCATTTAAATTTATTGTAGCTTGCCATCAGACCATCCTAGAAATTTTTGCTTTATGCGTATGATTTAAATCAAATTAAATATATATCATTTTCACCCCCATAATTTACAAAGTAGCTATGATTGCCCATGCTTTAATATACAAGGAAACTGGGACTCAGAGATTGAGTGAAGTGCTCCAAGTCATAGAGTAAGTCTGACTCTTGTGACTTGTGAGGTTTTATGGCACCTCACTGTTGCCTCAGTCTATCTTAACTCCCTCCCGTAGATTTGCCACTGCTCAGTGCTCCTTCCTGATAAGACACCCTATCACCAACTTTAGACATGTCAGTCTTTGAGGTCCCTGTGGGACATGGAGAAGTCAGTTAGGTGCAGTCTGAAACCGCTGTAGGACGTGGCCTCACTGGACCTATAGATCTGTGTGTGGGTCATCACAGAGAGGGTGATTAACCTATGAAAGGGTTAGGTCGCCCAGATGGTGTGGAATGAGGAGGAGAGTGACCGAAGTTTGGAACTCTTAAATACCAACATACGAGGAATGGAAGGAGGAAAAGGAGTCCATGCCTCCTAAACAGAGAAGGACTGCTGATAGAGCTTCCAGAACTGGGAAGCTGCAAGGTATCAGCTGCCAAATAATGGCACTATGGAGGTGGTGTTTAAGAGGATCAAACACAGCACAGGAATCTAAGAAGATAAGGACCGAGTCTGTCTATTGCATTTGTTACTTGGGTGGTTCGCGGGGACTCTGAGTCAGAGTAGTTTTATCAGAATTTTGGTGAACTGATTATGACAAATCCAGTGTCAGGAAGTGGCAACAAATGTGCTGTCCACTATTGTCACCATCGGCTACATGTGGCTGTTGAGCACTTGCGTGTGGCCAGTACAGGCTGAGGTCTGCTGTAAGTGTAAAATACCCACAGGAGTTCAGAGACCTTGTATGAAGAGGGGATTATGTAAAACATGTCATTGATAATTGTTTATATTGGTTACATGCTGAAATGATCCCATTGTGGTTATATTGGGTCAGTTAATATATGTGAACAAAATTAATTCTACATGTTTCTTTACATTTTTTACAGTGGCTTCTAGAAAATTTTAAATTATATATGTGGTTCTATTTGTGGCTCACATTCTATTGCTTTTGGACAGCACTGTTATGCATATTCTTTTAAGGAGTACCAGTTTAAAAAGAGAAGATAACAAGCAGATACCTTCTAGGTAGAAAGGCAAGGTCATGGGAAGGATTTTAAACTTGTCTGTGGCCCACAGAAAAGCAAGACATTGGAAGGAAGATAAGAGAGGGTTTAACTAATGGAGCATGATTCAGTTGGGAGTCAAATTTGCAGGTGGGGAGATGGGATTGATCCAGAAGAAGACATCTCCTCCTTTGAGCTCTGACATAAGGAGGTGAGAATAGATATAAATGTAGATAAATATGTGGGTAAGGGTAGAGACAGCGAAGGTGAGGACATACAGAATATAAAACACACTCATGTTTAATAGATCACATAGACTGAAACTACAGGGGATTTGCGTGACCTGGAACATTTTTAACAGAATCACGATTTTGTCTATTTGGGTTATAAATTTTCTTTGTCATGAGGAGCTTTCTCTGACGTATATGGATTTGTTAAGATAATTAATAACAAGGACTCATACATGATCTAAAAATGAAGTGCTGTTGTTGATGCAAATCCTGTTATTCCTAGGAGAGTTTGATACTGTGCAGAGCCCCTCCACACCTATCAAAGACCTCGATGAGAGAACTTGCAGGAGTTCTGGGTCAAAGTCCCGAGGAAGAGGCCGGAAAAATAATCCCTCCCCACCTCCTGACAGTGACCTAGAGGTATGCCAACTTACCCTCCAAGAGTGGAATATGATGTTTTATTTTACTGAATGACATATTCTACACCTTATAGTTCCATAAAGCTTCAAACTTAAAAAAAAAAGATATGAAATGAGTGGACCCCAAGTTTGAGAGTTCATCCATTGTAATGGCAAAATTAAAAACACTAACAACTTAAAAAAGATGATACTTTACAAATTCTAGGCCTGAGATAATTACATCTTTTGATTCTAACTGGCCTAAATGGAAATTTAAAACATAAAGCCATTGTTTGTAGGATGATGTTCTGAGAGACACTCTATTTCGTAGTATTAAGGTAACAAAAGATGTGTATATGGGTCGATAAAATTTAAAAAGGTAAAATTAATCTGTATGGAAAGGAAAAGTCGTCTTCTGAAAATAGGAAAAGAACAATCATTTGATACATGTTAACATTTTGATATCTGTAAAAGTCTCCATGTGTCATCTTTTTCTGGTTGAGAGCTCATTTGAGATATACCCATACTGAGCAGGTTGATCTTTATTATAAAACATCAGGAGAAATTATTCTTAACCGTATTATGTTACTTCTTACCCAACTGCAACCTTCAGTTAAGAAAAAAACCTAAATTTCCAGATTTGGTAAAATAAAATAGTAGTCATTGTGCCTCTTTAATCATTTCCTTCAGCTGAGTGACAATAGCACATTCCAGGCCTTCAGGAACCCAGCAGGTGATATAAATGAGTGAACTGGGCCAGGGAGCCAGCAGACTGTGGAGCTTAGGGAACATTGGCCCAGTCTAAGGGGGCCTGCCCATCACTGCCATGTGAAATGTCAGTCAGCATTATCGTATCTTCCAGTTTCTCCGCTGCCGCTAGAGCCCTGAAGTTTGTGTGAAATCTCGTGAATTTGAAATGCTGATCAATAATTTGAAATCTTTCTAAACCCTGTGCACGCTAAACAACCCATCGGATGGCCTAATCTGACCCGAAGGTCTATACTTCGCAATTTCTGTTTAGGGATCACTCACTGACTTTTTGAAATACTTTAAAAAAATTTAGTTCTTTGCATGAATTGAAAAGTCTCATGAATCCACGAGGTGAAAGATTAACTTTTGGGGCGTTCACTGCAAGTAAGTATTTGGAAACATTCATTCAAATTAGGACATCTGACTTTTAAGCTTATGATTACTTGTGTCACTCTCACCCCTCTGGTTTTATAGGGGGGGTGCGTGGCAAATTTGGAAAAAAAATTAATGGAGTAGCACAGCTTTTTCTGAAATGGTATTGAGATTATATCCAACAACAACAAAGTCAGATGTGTTCAATTTGTAGAGATTTCTGTTTCCTTAGAATTTGATGATCGTTTGATATTTATTTTTTTCTTCAGCGTGTATTTGTCTGGGACTTGGACGAAACCATCATCGTTTTCCACTCACTGCTCACAGGGTCTTATGCTCAGAAGTATGGCAAGGTAAGGGATCAAGAAATTTTACTCCAAGACACTCGGTTAGAATTTTATCTTGTTCAAAAATCTAGCACAACTTAAATACATTTAAGTTTTTGTTTCAGGCTGTCAAATCTGCTCTTAATTGATTTCCAGTGGCTCATTGTTCTTTGATGAGAACTGGCGAATTTTACAAAAGTAATTCGAAATTGAATTTGTTTTCTTTCTTCAAGATGCCTTTGGGTTTTCTACATCAAGAGCAAGCTCATTACTCTGACATAATCATCTTAGAAAAATTATTCTGTAAATTAAAATGGGCTTTCAATATTATAAAATCATATCTTACTCTCTAATAAGGAAACTTTCAGAACTAAATGTTGCTATAGAATGCCAGTTGAAGTAAGGAAGTAATCTCTTGTCTGAGAGATCCTTTGGATTTAGGAACACCAGTATTTTTTGTAACTTTGAATAAGCATATGAACAGCAAATCACATCCCCACACACACACACACACACACACACACATTCAGAGACAGATTCCCCTTCCTTCTTTCCTGCCATGCTTTTCACGGTTGGTTGGCTAGCTTCTTAGGACCGCGTTGGTGTTCGCTGTGTAGGTGCCGTGACAAAGATCAGTGTACCTCCAGGGTGCTTGTCAGATGGAAACACAATGGTTCAGGCCATTGCTAGGTGAGTCTCTGACTCTATGGGATTCATATTCTGACCAGAGTCAATTACCATATTCAAAGTTATCTAACTTTGGTTCTTTTAACATATTCTATTTACAGAAATGCCTTCCCTGTCCTTTATAGTGTTACATTATTTCTTAGGGTCTCACGTCAGCCCAACACAGAATTTTTAGCAAGTTTGTTAAGCCTTGCCTAGTAATGATGAAATTGCGTTCAAGTGTTTCCTACTTGAAATACACAACTACCACACTCTTGATGAATCTACGTTGTATGTGACTTTTAGTGTAGGTAATATATGTGACCAAACAGCTATGTAAGGGAACAGTTTTGCTTACCAGCCATATAGAAAAAGAGGTCTTAGCCCCTTTATGACAGTCATCCTCATTAAAAACAGTGGTCTCCAGAGCAGAATGTATGCATATATGCGAGATATACACAAGATGCTTCATTGAAATAAGGAAAGAAAATAGTTTGTATACACACACACACACACACACACACACGCACACACACATTTTTGTCTTGCAAACTATTGTTATATGTTTCATAATGCACATACTTTGTAAATACATGCATATTATTATCAATTAAAGAATATGTATATAATATATGAGTAAATTAGCTGTATATAAATTGGGGGTGCACACTCAAAATTCTATTACTGGTAGAGTATACAGTCTAAATAAAGTTTCCAGATAATAATCTAAAGCATTTCTTCTGGAATAGTTTTGGCTTCTGAGGAATACATGGTAAATCCTGCTGAACTGATTGCAATATTTTTATATGGCCAAGTTTCATGTTACATCAATGTTTAAAATAATCTAACTTGAACATACGAATCCAAATAAAGTTCCCTTCAAAATAGTCACCATTAGAGGCTTTACCCAGATATCCATGTTGCTTCCATTGTGTCAGATCAGTGGTGGAACTCATCTTTTGGAATGACCTTGAGATTTTTAAAGTGTTTTCCCAGTTCAAATCTTCATCCTTTTTGTGGTGGTTTTGACCTTTAAAATACTAGTAAGATCATTTGAACCCCAGGTGATAAATAAGCAGCCTGGTCAAAATGTGACTATATATATATATATATATATATAGTTTTTTTTTCTTTTTCTCAAAAATATCATAAAGTGGCACCCATCCCAGAACTGAATATGGACTTCCCTTTGGGATAAGAAGGGCACCGGTAATGAGGCAGAGACGGGTGGAGAGCCACAAAAAAAAATCTAATAACGAGCTGCCTTTCAGACTGGTTCTAAGAGCAGTTTTAACAGCAAAATGCCCATGCTTCCCTCAGCACTGGTGCATCGTTGAAATAACCGTGTCGCTTCCCTGGACGCCCACCCGGACATGCAGGGCTCACTTCACGCACAAGCTTCGTTATCCTAAAATACTGTCAAAAAGCTTTGTTGGAATACAGAATAGAGACATTTTCTTTTCCTTTCCTTTCTTTTTTTTTTTTTTTTTTTAATTCCCAAGTTACTTAACATACAGTTTAGTCTTGACTTCAGGAGTAGAACCCAGTGATTCGTCATGTACATATAACACCCAGTGCTCATTCCAACAAGTGCCCTCTTTAATACCCGTCACCCGTGTTCCCCGTCCCCATCAACTCTCAGTTTGTTCTCTGTATTTAGGGCTTCTTATGGTTTGCCTCCCTCTCTGTTTTAAATAGCAGAGCTCACAGAAGGTGTGGGGCAAAGTGAGGGGAGGAGGGCAACTAATGTTATTTAGTGCCCCCAGTGTGCCAGGCATTAAGTGTCACAACAGTTGCAAGAGAGAGGTGGTTCTCCCCGTCTCTAGGGGAGGAAGCATATTCAGGGAATAAAATATGTGCAAAGTCACACAGCCAGTCAGTGGCAGAGATGACCCAGGACTATTTGACTCCATAGCCCATCTCGTTTCTGCTACAGCACATCACACAGCATACACAATCCGTCTGCCATGGATGCAATAAGTGACATATACTAAAAAGAGTGAGGACAATTAGTGAGGTGCTGTGTAGGTAGTTATGTGAGTTCTCCTCAAGCTGAAATAATTTGAGTTATCTTCCCTCAGATGATTGGGATACTTTTTCATCCACGAGTAAAACCTAAGCGGGGCGCCTTGGGGGGCTCAGTCGGTTAAGTGCCTGACTTCGGCTCAGGTCATGAACTTGTCGTTGGTGGGTTTGAGCCCCACATTGGGCTCCGTGCTGACGGTTCAGAGCCTGGAGCCTGCTTCACATTCTGTGTCTCCCTCTCTCTCTGCCCCTCCCCTGCTCTCGCTCGCTCTCTCTCCCTCTCTCTCAAAAATACATAAAACATTAAAAAAATTAATTTTTTAAAAATGAAGCAAAACCTAAGAAACATTCAGTGAAACGGATTGTGGCAGACAGATATCAGTACCTCATGGCAGCACAGAATGGGAAAAGAATCAGGGGCACTATTGAAAGTTTAGGGAAGATAACCTTCCATCTGTAAAATACCTACCGTGTGGTAGATGGAGCCTGTATTTGGCATTTCACAAGCAGTAGGGATAGTGGTTAAGGACCAGAACCTTCGAGTTAAATAAACTTGACTTTGAAAACCCAGTGCAGGGGCGCCTGGGTGGCGCAGTCGGTTAAGCGTCCTACTTCAACCAGGTCACGATCTCACGGTCCGTGAGTTCGAGCCCCGCGTCGGGCTCTGGGCTGATGGCTCAGAGCCTGGAGCCTGTTTCCGATTCTGTGTCTCCCTCTCTCTCTGCCCCTCGCCCGTTCATGCTCTGTCTCTCTCTGTCCCAAAAATAAATAAACGTTGAAAAAAAAAAAAATTAAAAAAAAAAAAAAAAAAAAAAAAAAAAGAAAAGAAAACCCAGTGCTGATGCTTGTAGCTCTCTGATCTCAGGCAAATTACTTAATCCCTCAGCCTCAATTTCTGTAAAATGGGAAAAGTACTGCCTGTCGTGAATAAGAATTAAAGAGAAAACATGTTTAAAGGACTTAGCAGAACAGTTGGCATGAATTAACACTCAAAAAAATTGTGATTGATCGCTTTCGCAATTGTTATCCCACTTAATTCTCTGGAAGACTCTGCTGGAACTTCCTGTGATCCAGGTTGGATGGATGCAGAAACCCAGGGCTATGAGGGGTCGGGAAACTTGACCGAGGGCACGAAATGATAAATGTTGTTGCATCTACTGGAAACCTGGTCCGTCTTATAGCTAAGTCCTTGCATTTTTACACTCTTCTCACAGGAGGGGAGCCTGTTGGAACTGACCGCGTCGAATAATGTTTTACTCAGGACAATTTAAGGAAATTAAAAGAAAAATTTGTTTAAGGCTCTATTTTTTCTCATCAGAATGAGAGCACCCTTCCTGAATTTCATGCAAAACAACTTAGATGACCCTATTTATTGAATTATTATTTATATTTTTCTAAAAGGCATTTGATCGTTGACATTTTTCTTAACATCAGAGGAAATTGGCATGGTCTGTTGGCCAGGAAGACAATAATATCTTGGCATATCGAGAAATAGCTAAATAAGGGATATTAGGTCAGACCCATCTTTTGAAGCTGGAGACCACACACAGCTCAGGGGTCATTCAGAGGGGACCAAGAGGGCTTTGGGGAGCTTCAACCTCACCACACACCACAAGTGGAAATGGGGGACACGAGGGACTGTATTCATCTAACAAATATTTACCGCAAGGCAGACCCGCATCCTGCTCTCAGGGAGCTTACAAGCAAACAAAATCATTGCAGATAGTGATAACTGCTGTGAAGGCAATGAACCTGGGTCATGTAGAGAGTGGCCTGGGGGGAGGAGGGGCTGACCCTGGAGGTGATGATGCTGAGACCTGAATTTCAAGAAGGAGCTAGCTATGCAGATGTTGGGGGAAGGGGAGAGCAGGGGGAAGCATTCCAAGCAGAGGGCACAGGAGGGCCCTGCCACAGAAAGAGTCTTCCACTGTTCCAGGAATATGAACAAGTGTGGCTGGAAGGTTGTAAACCGGGGAGGGACTGACCCAGGGTAAGAACAGAGTGGTGAGCAGGGGGCCGTGTCATCTCCCGCAAGGCACTGGGGATTTATTCTAGGTGCAGCGTGTTGGAGGGTTTTGGGCTGAGTGCCATGATGGTTTAGAACTGGCTGCTGTGTGGAGAGCAGGCTTCTGAGCAGTAAGAGTGGCAGGGGCTTAGACTGGAACAGTGTTTCTCAAACGTGTGTGTGAGTCACCATAAACCCACAGGACTTGTTAAACACAGATGGCTGCGTCCCACGCCCAGAATTTCTGATTCTGTAGGTCTGGCGGGGGGGGGGGGGGGGGGGGGGTCGGCCCAAGATTTTGCATTTAGAATAAACATCCACTGAAGCTGAT